ATATATATATATATATATATATATATATATGGCATCATATTCCCCGGGTCCCCGGGAATGGCACGTGAATGTTTTGGGTCACTCTTCTTTAGGACATTACAATCACAGTGGAATAATTGTCATCTAATTACCAATCTCTGAAAGTGCACAGGACTTCAGTGAGAATCCAGACACCAGGTTGTCCACTGACTTTATGCTGGTGGGTGTTCCACTTGAACCACGCTTCAGCAGGCAGTTCTTCCTGAATATCAACAAAAGATGCTGTTATGCTTCCTTTCTTGAGCTGTGCGAGTACGTGGGGATAATATTCATTATTGAATTGGTAACCACCGAGGGGCACAGTTGGACCATTATTAATCAATAGACGCTTTTCCCTTCTGCAAATGGAGTGGCAGACGACATTGCCTGACACTATGCCCATACACAGCCTATCAGTCGACAAATGAAGTTTACCATCTTTGGGAGGAAACTCCACTGGAATGAAGTATGTAAATAAGGAATGTAAAAAGGAAGGGGCTTCGACCGCATGCCCCTTGCACTTTGACTGGAGGGAAGCAGATAGGTTTTTTTCACAGAGGATGCTGTTGCATCCTGGAGTGTCCTCTTGGGACTGTGACTCACTCACCGGTACTCTGGTCTGTGAAATGCATTTGTAGCATATGTGAAAAATTGGCAGTGAATATTATTTGTGCACAGTTTCTGGCATTCTTCAATACTGTCGGTCTTAGATATGTTAAAGTTGGACCCTCTCATATCAAGTCCTTCGTATATGTCTCGGTGGCAAGCTGAAATGAAACACAGAGAGATATTTGAGCAAATTTCCTTTTAGACACAGATAGGCTGCCCTTCCCTCAGAGTCATTCTTTTTAGACATGGATACATGGCTCCGTATCTCTGGATTCTGTCAGAGTCATTTTAAAGGCCAGTATCCAATTTTGATGACTTCCCTGGTAAGTACAGGAATTAGATTATTTTTATTACATATCTAAATTATCAAATGGTGCTGGACATTAGCTCACCTCTGGTGTGTTTACCTGACCCTAGCATTAAAAGCAGGTTATTTTGCTTCTTAGACTGCAAGGGGTTTGCAACAATACAGAACAATACAATTTCACATTGAAGCTATCAGTGGCACTGATAAGCAAAGAAGCCAACCATAACAGGGGTCCTGATAGTGTGTGCCAGAGATTCAAAGTATTTGACAAATGAGGAACCTTTGACTTCTGGGTCAAAAATAAAACAAAAACACAAACAAACAAACAGAAAACCCCAAACCAAAAACCACCACCACCAAAACAAACAAGCAAACAAAAACAAAACATCATGATCTGTATCTATTTCTCTTCCTTCACCTATTCAGGTCTGGTTGTGATTTGTGACGACGGTCAGCCACAACTCTGACACCTGTGTCGAATCTTTTACAGACTGTCTCAATTTTTTTATATGCACAGTGAAATCATTTCCCTTCTTGCTTTAAACCTTTCTTAAATTCTATCACTACCACCACAGCTACCACCTCCACCACCACCACAGTCCCTGCACCCTTTCTTGTCCTTTCTAGACTGGTTGGCTTGGAACTCTTGTGGTAACTATAGGAAGCCCTGAGTAATTGTGAAAAGAGCAGGTGAAGTCTGTAGTCTATAGTCTGTAGATGTTGGCACAGCCATCTGAAGGACCAATGGCTCAGACCCATGAGAAACTGGCAAAGCCTTCCCTGGGTCTCAGTAGTAGTGTTTAGGAACAATTGACCAGTGTATACTACGACTAGCAACTTCACATTCTGCTCCAAGATGATTACATACCAAGAGGAACGACTCCCTGCCTGTGGAGACCTCCTGCTCAGACTAGCTAATCCCTCCCCTGGGCTGTATATAATAAGCACTCTGGGGGTTGGGGGTTCAGTGCTCATCATAAACACACACTATTCCAGCTTCTCTGCGCATGCGTCTGTGTGTCTGTTATTACTTATTTTCATGATGTTCCTACTCAGTTTTCCAGGACCAAAACTATGCTGGATGTGGCAGTCTCCCATTTCAGACCAAGCTGGCTTTAAATTTAAAATGTTCTTTGCTTCTGCCTTCCTGGTGCTCAGATTATAGCCATGTGCTAGCACACCAGTTTTTAAAAGTTTCTTCAATTCTACTTAAGCATCCCTTCATTGAAATGTATCTTATATATTAAAAATAGTTGATTCTTTTAATAGAAGTTAAGCCAAATTAAGCTCTTAAGTTTTGTTTTTAAGACAATGCAATTAGATACTTAGTTAAGCAAGCTGTGTGTGTGTGTGTACGTGAATGTTAGCACAAACAATATTCTATTGTCCATAACTATAAGTTTCTAAGAATTGTAAAATTAATTTAAACATGGGAGACAGTACACATATACAAACTAATAGAAAATATTATGCTAAACTCCCAGAAGTTTATAGGGCAGGAAACTGTAAATGGTAAAAATGGGGTTCTTTTAAATTTGCTTCAGATAAGAAAGGACATGAGCTGAGGGTTAGGATGAGGCAGTAACGAATAAAAATATTTTCTTAATGATGATCCATAAATTTTAAGCCTGCCTCTTAATAGTTTTACTAAAACTGGTTCGTGAGATCACTTTTTAACTTGAAGATATTTCTTGAAGGTATTTGGGAGAAAGTTACAAAGGGACTTTAGTGCCAAACTCAGTGAGTAAGATTAAGCTAGGAGGAAAACAAGACAACTAAGAAAGCTTTGGGGAAGGCACAATAATTCTATTTTTTAAAATTTTGTTGTTGGTCACAATAATTAGACACAACACTTCATCAAGTAATATACAACAAGTTATATCAGTTTATGGGTTTGATATTATAAGATAGAAGTATTTCACTTCAGGATATACCTCTATCTCTATATCTTCTATATCTCTATCATCTATATCTATATCTATCTCTGTTTCTCTCTCTCTCTCTCTCTATCTCTATCTCTTCTCTGTCTCTGTCTCTGTCTCTATCTCTATCTCTATCCATTACACCAGTAAAGCAGTATTTATAGCCAAGTCATTGCCCCCCTTCATTAACTGACTAAAACTTAAGTTCCAGACTCTGAATGTGTGTGTGGTGAGAGAGAGCATTGTTATTATTGGAGCTAAATGAGAACATTTGAAATTTGAACCTATGGAATGAACGATGTAAGAACAAAACAGTATAGTTGAACTCACCACCTCATTCTTTTTTAGCACTTTCACTTTCTAACAGTCCCTCTCATCCTATAAAACTGCCTTCTTTGTACTAAGCCTTTCAGATGGGATGGGACGGGAATTAAGATGCTATGTTCTAGGACAAAAGCTCTCTAGCTCCCTAGCGTTCACATTCCTTGTAAGAAATATTACGCTTAGCAAGATTGACAGAACTCAGCCCCTCAGTCTAACTCAGTGACAATGAGTTCTTAAACCAGCATTTCTCAACCTGTGGGTGGAGACTCCTCTTTCGTGGTTGAAAGACCCTTTCACAGGAGTCGCCTAAGACCATTGGAAAACACAAATATTCACAATTATGATTCATAAGAGTAACAAAATTACAGTTATGAAGTGTCGATGGAAAGAGTTTATGGTTGGTGACCACCACCACCACAAGAGAAAGCATATTAAAGAGGTGCAGCATTAAGAAGGCCGAGAACCACCAGCTTAATCCTGTATCAGTGGCCCTGATGGTGGCCAGAATATTTTCTGTTGTGTCTGACTGCACCAACTCTGGACATTACCGTAGAGTTCCCTCTCCAGTTCAGTTGTAACCATCTAACCTGTCTCCAGACATTACCAACTGTTTTTTGATGTGGAAAGGGCAAAGTCAGTTCTGGCAGTGACCATAAATTCCCCCAAAGTTCACTTTGGGATGAGATGTCCCCTGAATCTTATCTGAAAAGTCTGTTGTGGAAACAGGGAAGGCCTATTATCTAGACTGTACATTCATTTCTCACAAATCACATTGTGTGTGAGTACTACAGATAATAAGAGCCTGTTAAGGCTGTGTATTATAACTGATAAAGACATAAACATTACCAAGATAAAAGTACCCCCTTCTTTCGGCCATGATGACGCCTAGCTCTGTTACTTTTCTTGGTGTTCTCTTCTGAAAGTCCGCCATAGTATAGACTTTGAGCAAAACCTACCCGAGTTTGAGTGTTATTAACACAAATTTAGTTGGGGAAAAAATTCTACATCTTACCACTTATTTGATCACCACACTGCTTTAAAGAATGACCAGAGATGGCCCCTGTCCGGTGTATTCTTGGCAAAGTCCCTGTAATGCTCTCTTTCATGAAGCAACCAAACCTATTTAAAAACACACACACGCACACATTTTAAAAGGGGAATAGAAGGACAAATATACATTAAGAAATTATACAGCATTTAATATAGGGTAGTAAATAAGGTCCAGGGTGAGGAAATTAATAACATTTCCTTGACACTTACTGAAAAGGATATTCTTAAGACAAGCGCACACTATCTACAGTGTCGTTTTTCTTAGTGCTCATGCTTCAAGCACAGGGAGCCAACCACATTCAAGAGTTAATGATTATTTCCGCATTCTGAAGGTCGGTAGCTCCTCTTTCCAAAACATAATTGGGTTTGTTTTTGGTTTAAGTGGTACTGAGGAGGAAAGCCTGGGCTCACATATGCTAGCCTGGGCTCACATACACTAATCAAGTGCTGATCACTTGCTAGCCTCTTCCCCCCATCCCACCCCAGCTTTTATTTAGTTTACTTTGAGAGAAGGTCTTATTAACTTACACAAGCCGACTTTACACCTATGATTCTCCTGTCTGAAGGGTCTACATTTTCTAAAATGGTGATTATTTTTATAGATATTTTAATTTACTTTTGAAAATTTGAACCAGCTATGAGTTGAGTCTGTGTACGATGCTCATCTGGTTTATTGATTCCTGGAAGTTTCCATATAATGAGAGGCTTTTTCTGTCTTCAATATCAACTCTGTGTTATCTTTACTATTTATAAGAATCCCAGAACCTAGTTCAATTTTTTAAAAAGTGAATCTCACATAGCCTGGGTTTTAGTTTTGTTTTTTTTTTGTTGTTGTTGTTTTTTGGTGTTTTGTTTTTTGTTTTGTTTTGTTTTGTTTTTGTACAGGTCAGCATGTAGGGATCAGAGAATGAGTTTCAAATTTCAAATTTTTAAATTAAGATAGACTGAAGAGAAAAGTTATATATGTATGAAATCGGAAGCAAAAATTTACATTTGGCTATTGATCAAATGAAATAAAATTAAGGTAAAATTTTCAACTATATTTCTAATACTTGTTCTTGTCAAAATTACCACTTAATAATACACACATGCACACACACACATACACAGAGGGGGGGAAATGCAGATGAAATTTTCATCTTTTACCAGAAAGTAATATATATGATTAAAATATATATTTGCCAGTGAAAGTATAAAATGCACTGTGAAGTTCCCCAGCTTCCTTTTCAAACGACTACTGTAACTGGATAGAGGTTCACTGAGTTGTACAGTCTCTGGGTCTGGTTAATTTGAGTGTGTGATTGTTTTATCTACAGAATTTAAAATAAATTATAATTAATGCACAATAAATCATGAATAAAACAGAAAATATGTAATGGAATGCTACTTAGTTCTGAAGAAAAACGAAATCACAAAAACTGCAGGAAAATGGATGGACTTAGAATGTTTAATATTAAGTGAAGCCGTATAATCTCAGAAAGAAAAACCCTCATGTTCTCCCTCATATGCATAACCAGCCAATAACATATTTATATACATAACAAATGTACATGTGGGGACAGTGTAACACGTTGAAAGTGAAGAAGAAAGGCTAAGTATTACAGTGTGAGGAAGGGCCCTTTCTTGTTGCATGCTGTCTTTGGACTAGGGCTGTAGTATCTCTACCTTAGCTGCTGTGAACAAGTGCAGTGGTTGCTTAGACTCTCTTTCTCTGGCTTCAGTACTCAAGCAGTCTGCATTGGAAAGTCCCAGCCTAGGAGCTTCTGATGCAAATAGTCATTGAACACTCTGAGAAACATGACACCATCTTTGCATACAGTGGGAAGCAGTTTGAGAATCATCTACCCTGGCAATGATAAAGCACCACGTCTTACCTCTTATCTGTCTCTTTGGGTGGAGTCACAGCAAGGAAGCTGAACAGGAGACACCTGGGGTGAAATGTGCACATCTTCTGACAGTACTGGGCATCTGGGGTGTAGATGGCAGCTAGATCCCCACCTCTGAAGAAGGTATTTTTATACAGTTGACTCAGACACCCTGTGATATAAAAGTTAATTTTGAGAGAAAGTGTAACCATTTTAACAGAAATGCATATGTTTCGTTATTCTTTTTTATTTATCCCAGTGGCTACTCAAAGATCTATACAATGAATGAAACATTTTGACAACTGTCAAACAATACAGCATGCTATTTAAAGTCATCTTATGGACATTTATGCATAAAAGTTGACTCTTTTTATCACCTATATAATAATGTGTACATAAACTACCTGTTAAAATATAGTATAATTTTTTTCTGCCTTCTTTCTAACATGCTATGAAAACATCTCACCTTAAAAATAAAACTACAGCATTTTTCAAAACCCTTTTAGGACAACCATCTCCCTAAATTCCTCAACATCTTGAGGGCAGCTTGAGGTTAGGGCCATTATTTGTATCTCTTTTCTCTCTCTCTCTCTCTCTCTCTCTCTCTCTCTCTCTCTCTTTTTTAATGAAAGAAGTCAATAATTGAGTCTCAGAGTTCAGGTGTGGTTAATATCACACAGTGAATAAATACCCTGGGACACAAACTCATCCTTCCTGACTCTCAACCCTGTCGGTCCCCTTTTCGAGCATGCAGTGTTACATGTTGCTCTTTACCCAACCTTATTTAAGCAAAATAATAAATATTGAGTGCTTATTTCCTACTAGCTCATTTCTTGATAAAGAAAATGTATTTGCAGAGACTCACACTCAGACATTTTACACAGAGAGAGAGAGGGGGAAGAGAGAAGAGAGAGGGAGAGGGAGAGGGAGGGGGAGGGGGAG